AGAGCATCAGGGAACTCCTGTGGTTGCTCTGCTGGGACAAAGGTGTCCACATGGCAGGGACTTCATGGGCTGTTTGGAAGTGGGCTTGTGTGGAGTGGTGCACAATTGAATGCCTTGTCTTTAGTGTGCTACTTTGCATTCTCCAGATACACTTTAAACTCTTTTAGGAAAGACACCCCTCTTCTGTATTTCTGTCACACTGATTGGAATAGAACTCAATAATTTGTATCCAATGAGGACAGTTCTATGGTCTATGTAGCACAAGTTTACTATTTAATTTGTGGGTGATGAAATAATTTAGTAGTTGGAATCTGTTAAACAAACAAAAGAGGAGTTTGGTTTGAGTAGAAATGAAATCTATTAAAAAAAAAAAAAGATTGACTTACAAGATCTTCCAGGGGCCACAGATTAACTTGGAGGACACTGAGCCCGGAAATAAGAGCCCCACTGATCCCACAGACCACAGGAATGATTCCACTGCCATCTGGCTTGGCACTGCCAACCCAGCTGGGTATGCGATGCCAGAACCTCTGCCCCTGGTGCCTCCACAGCTGCCCTGATCAGGAAGTAGCCTTGGTGCCATCTTGAATCGAGGCCTCTTTAGGCTGTGGCAACTGATGCAGCCAGGTCAGCTGCCTGCACTGAACTGCAAGGGAGGAGGGCAGAGCAAATTCCAGTTCTTGAAAAGAGAAATTCCAGTTCTCTTTAAAGAAAACATCATGGGGGGCTGGGGACATAGCTCAGTTGATAGAATGCTTGCCTCACATTCGCAAGGCCCTGGGTTCAATCCCCAGCACCAAAAATATAAAAAAATAAAAAAGATGGAAAATCTGCCAAATGATGGTGGGTGCTCAGAGAATGCCACACATCTTTTACAGCAGCATTTGTCAACGCTCAAAGCGGTAGTAAAGGTCTCTGTGGGAACAAGTTCAGAAACTGTGGGTAGCATTTATATTTTCTTTCAATTAATTAAGAATTTATATAGCTCTATATGTTTTTTTTTTTAATTTTTTATTGTGGGTTGTTCAAAACATTACAAATTTCTTGACATATCATATTCCACACTTTGATTCAAGTGGGTTATGAACTCCCACCTTCACCCCATACACAGATTGCAGATTCACATCAGTTACACATCCATTGATTTACAAATTGCCATACTAGTGTCTGTTGTGCTCCGCTGCCTTTCCCATCCTCCACCCAGCTCTATATGTTTATACGTATATAAAATCTTTATCTATTTTTTTAAAGACTAGCTGTGTTGCCCATGCTAGTATTTTTTTTTAAATTTTTTAGTTATAGATGGACACAATAACTTTATTTTATTTTATTTTTTATGTGGTACTAAGGATCAAACCCAGTTCCTCACACATGCAAGGCAAGCACTGTACACTTCAGCTACAACCCCAGCCCCCCAGGCTAGTCCTGAACTCATGGGCTCAAGTGATTCTCCTGCCTGAACCTCTTGAGCAGTTGTGACTACAGGGACACACCACTCTGACTGGCTAATATATATATTTGTTTGTTTGTTGGGCTGGGATCCAACAGAAGATCTTTCCCATGATAGGCTAATGTTCTAGTACTGGACTATACTTCACTGTGTATCTTTTTTAGTGCCGAGTATGGTGGCGCATACCTATAATCCCAGTGATCTGGGAGGCTATGGCACAAGGATCTCCAACTTTGAGGCCAATCTGGGCAACTTAGCAAGACCCTAACTCAAAATAAAATAAAAAGAGCTGGGGAGCTGGGCTAGTGGAGCATACCTGTAATCCCAGTGACTCAGGAGGCTAAGGCAGGAGGATTGCAAGTTCAAAGCCAGCTTCAGCAATTTAGTAAGGCTCTAAGCAACTTAGCAAGACTCTATCTCAAAATGAAAAAAGGGGGGGGCATGCTGGGTGTTGGATATATAACTCAGAGGTAAAGCACCCGAACTCAGTGGTAAAGTACCCCTGTGTTCATTCTTCAATGTTGAAAAAAATACACACACATACACACATATATATGTATAAAACTGACACTTAGTAACTGTACATATTTATGGAGTAGAGTGGGCATGTCAATACATGTATAACAATTAGATCAAGGTTATTGGAATATCCATCATTTTTTGTGTGTTTTGGGAATATTCAAAATACTGTTGGCTATTTTGAAATATCATCAATTATTGTTTTCAATAATTGTTTTTATACTAGTATTTATCTTATCACAGCCTTGTAAGAACTAGGAGACAGGTGTTCGTATTTCATCATAGAAGTATTACAAAAGTATCACAGGAGTATGCAGATAGGCACTATTTCCTGGATTACATTTAGAGTAATTCTACTCCAGATAAGAGACTGTCAAACTATACCTTAGGCCAAATCTGGGCCAAATCCAGCCTGCTTGTCTTTTTTTTTTTTTTTTAACATCTTAGTTAATTAATTTTTTGCTGTGCTGGTGATGGAACCCAGGATCTCATGCATGCCAGGTAAGTATGCTACCACTGAGCTATATCCCCAAACACTGATAAAGAATTGTTAAAGGTGGTCGTGGTGGTGCGTGCCTGTAATCCCAGCAACTCTGGAGGCTGAGGCAGGAGGATCTTACGGTCTCACACACTTGATGGACTGCTAAGAGCCAAGTATATGATGCATGGCATTTTTGGTCGAAAGGTGACGCCAGCTAGCCATTGAGATGATATGATTATGTTAAGATTTGCATTCATATGGATATTGGACTCCTGCTGTTCACCTAGGCCGGCTACAGGACTCCTGGAGAGTTCCCATTGGTTGGGGAAGTACAGTAGGAGGGAGTTCCGGGGGAGGAGCTCTCTCTGTGGGTCTGGGAGGAGGCCGCGTGGGTGGATCGAAAATCTTCCCGGGCGCATATGGGACATTTGTTGGCAGTTTCAAAAAATAAAGTTTGTTCCTGCTTGAGTGGCTCGTGATTTTGTGCCCAGGCAGACTGCGGCAATGGACCTTTATTTATTTATATGTGGTGCTGACAATTGAACCCAGTGCCTCATACATGCTAGACAAGTGTGTGCTCTACCACTAAGCCACAATCCCAACCCCTCACCCCTCATTTTTAATTGCACAGACCTTACATGCCACGGGCCAACCCTAAGTGATATGATTACATATTCTTGTAAAGAAGCCTGGATTTTGTAGGTTCTAGCTGCATGGTTATGTGCCCAGCTAAAACTCAGTAGTTCTCTTATCAGAATTGAGATAGTTTCTTTAATAATTGACATTCATGGAAAGAACTTCTATAAGTAAAACAGAACCTAAAGTGAACTAATCCAAAGAATAAAAAATGGAGGAGTGGAGACAGAGGAAAAGAAAAGCGATTTTCTGGACAGGAAATTAGTTCAGTCTTAGGTACCTCGGGTACACAAATGAGAAATCCTGTAAAGATGTTATTTGTTTTCATTTTGTCATGAAAATTCCTATTTACATTTAAAAATTGCACTCAATATTACCTTTCTTATACCTCCAAACATCTTGTTTATTGCTTTTGGCATTAACATGCTGTGATGTGTTCTAAGTCATTCCTAGTTTTGTAACTCTCTCAAGGTGATTTTGTAAGAGAGGCAAAATAGTTAAGAGAAGAAATCAGGGTACTGAGGTATTTATAGGTGAGATTATTTGCTGATATTTGCTTTAAAATACCCCAGTAAACCGGGCCCTGAGGCAAACGCCTCTGATCCCAGCGGCTGGGGAGGCTGAGGCACGAGTTCTGGCTAGTTCAAAGCCAGCCTCAGCAATTTAGCAAAGCACTTAGCAACTCAAGGGCTGACTTTGAACTTGTGATCTGCCTGCCTTAACCCCCCAAACCACTGCATTACAGGTGTGCACCATTACACAGGCCTGTTTGTTCTTGAATCCTTATCATTCTGTAATCTTTTAATCTTCACTGGCCACATCAGTTCAATTGCAATTGTAAGACTTGTGTACATTTATGAAAGAGGCAGTTTGGGAAAGATGTGTGCATGAGGTTCAGTGTGTTGCTCAGGTCACTTCATTGGGCCTTAGCTTCTTTTCAGGTCTTGTTTCTAAACATCTCTAAATAAAATATAAAAAGGCTTGGAGATGTGGCTCAGTGATTGAGCACGCCTGGCCAAAACAAACAACAACAACAACAAAAAACCTCAGCAAAAATGAAAAAGGGGAATAGATGAAACAAGACTGGTAAAATGTTGATTTGTTGAAGTTGTGTTATGGGAAACTGGATGATTATTAATACAATTTAATATTTTTTTGAGTTCGTTAAAACATTTCCATAATGTAGCAAAACCTGGTTCTTGAATACATTCGGTTCTGGGTTCAAATCTTAGTTTCACCATTTACAAGTTAAGTGGTTACTTCTCTATTCTTTGTTTCTTAAGATTGGTTCAATGTATAAGATTCTTGTACAGTTTAAAATAAGAGAGAATCTGAGGCATCTGGCAGCAGCTCCTGCTGGTAAGTGACAGAAACCCATTCGGCTTAGGGCTCAATTCCCCGGACACGCTGATGTGAAGTGGCAGAAGTGGGAGCTGAGTTCGGACTCGTGATTTCTAGACCTGGAGCTTTTCCTGTTACCCCACTGGGAAATCTGACCACCGTTTGTGCTCGGCAAGTTGCGCTATCAGTTTGGGCACAAGCCTGGAGTTTAGGACTCTGGGATTCCAGGGTGACTCAAAGACCTAACCGGCACGACCGAGCGCCGCTGGCGAAGCTGACGCGGGCACAGCTCGCGATCGCTGCAGGCGCGAGTCTGGGGTCTCTCTCCCGCGGGGGTCGGCTCGGGCGCGTGGCCTCCCGCTAGGCTCGCAGCGGGACGCGTGGCCTCCCGCTAGGCTCGCAGCGGGACGCGCGGCAGCCGGCTCCCGGAGGGTCCTAGAAAGCTCCTCTCTCGGCGCGGCTCCCGGCCCGGGGGGGTTAGAGCAGAACCCTCGCAGCCCTCCCCTGGCGACTGGGGGTGGGGCCTCGGACTTCTGGCTCGTGATTGGCCGGGGCTCGGACGCTCCCCTTCCGCCCCCTTCCGCGGGGTGAGAGGTCAGCTGAGCTCTGATCGCCCGGGCGACAATGGCGGGGCTCTTGGTAGGGACATTCGCGCTGGTCGCGGCCGGACGGCGGGGGCGGCGGCCCCCTCCTCAGCTGATGCGGAGCGCGGCGCTGTGGACCCTGAAGGTGAGACTCTGTGGGGCTTCTGGGCCTGGGCTCCCAGCCGGCCTCTCTCCTGGGGGCCGGTGCCCCGGGCCAGACGTGTCCTCCCCGGACCTGGGTTCCCGGCTGTCTGCGCCCCTCGCTCCTCCTCCATCCCCGAGTTCGCCGTGGAGCCGGATCGGGAGGCATTCCTCGTAGCAGGCATCTCTCCAGGGTCCCGAGGACAGAGGCCTACGGAGGCAGGCGGCTGTGCATTTTCTGCTCTCCCAGGCAGTGAAGTACCTGCACAGCCTGTGGACAGACTCCAGTGCCTCTAGGGTACTGGCTTCGTGTTATGCTTTCCAGATGTGTTTTTAAGAGTCCTGCCCCTTTTGAGAGTTGTTACGAATGGCTGCTCAAGTTGGGGTTGTGAGTTTATCCTAACTTTTAAAGTAATGTATGATAGGATTGCTAAATAGATTTCAGGCTTGAGTTGAAAGCCTGCCCAAATTGTAGGGCATCACACTGGTACCGTATGTGAAAAAGTCTGTGCATTTCTTTCTTTCTTTCTTTTTTGCTGTGTAGTAGCTTGGTTTGAAACGTGTTTCAGCATTGTTCACCCTATGGTGTTACCGTGGCAATTTCATCTACAGGTTGGTGTGTTGACCTGTGCTGCTTGATTCTTGATTCTTTTCCCCTTTCACTTGGAGTCTTTCGTAACTCTGGGATGAGTGTATGCAATACAACCCTATTAAGTCATTTGAACCAATTCTTTAAGATGAAGGCCCCTGAAAACCATTTGTCCGCAGGTTTAGTGTGCTTGTTAAACGTTTTTTTTTTTTTTCTCCACCGGGGATTGAACTCAGGAGCTCTTAGTCACTGAGCCACATCCCCAGCCCTATTCAGTATTTTATTTAGAGACGTGGTCTGAGTTGCTTAGTTCCTCGCTACTGCGAAGCTGGCTTTGAACTCTTCCTCCTATCTCAGCCTCGGGAGCCGCTGGGATTACAGGTGTGCGCCAACGTGCCTGGCCTTTTTTTTTTTTTTTTAATGAAAAATCCTTAAAAAATTTCTACATAATTTGATTTATAGTTATTGAAATTTAGATTTGGAAGACATTTCAGAGATGATCTGCCCTCTCTTACTCTTTTTGAAGGTGAGCGAATTGAGGCCCAGTTGGGCAGTGTGAGAGAGCTGGAAGTAACCTTGGCACCTATATTTGCTTAGTGTCAGTTGCAGAAGGCCCACTCTGGCTGTTCTTTGTGTTGCTATGTGCTGTTTGTTATTTTATTTTTTTGGTGTCTGGGATTGAACGCAGGGGTGCTTAACCACTGAGCCATATCCCCAGTCCCTTTAAACTTTTTTTTTTTTTTTAATTTTTAATATTTATTTTTTAGTTTTCGGCGGACACAACATCTTTGTATGTGGTGCTGAGGATCGAACCCGGGCCGCACGCATGCCAGGCGAGCGCGCTACTGCTTGAGCCACATCCCCAGCCCTCCCCAGTCCCTTTAAAAAAGTATTTAGAAACAGGGTCTCACTAAGTTATTTAGGGCCTTCCTAGGGCTGACTTTGAACTTGTGATCCTCCTGCCTTAACCTCCCAAACCACTGCCTTACAGGAGTGCACCATTACACAGGCCCGGTTGTTCTTGAATCCTTATCGTTCTGTAATCTTTTAATCTTCACTGGTTACATTAGTTCTATTGCAATTGTAAGACTTGTGTACATTTATGAAGGAGGCAGTTTGGGAAAGGTGTGTGCATGAGGTTCAATGTGTTGCTCAGGTCACTTCATTGGGCCTTAGCTTCTTTTCAGGTCTTGTTTCTAAACATCTCTATTGAATAACTCCTGTGTTCCAATTGTAGGGCATGAATATGATTTGTTTTCTTAGAAAATTTGGTCTATTAGTAAGAGAGAAAATGCTATTGGGGAGGGGGTTTGATGTTGTAATAAAATATAGGGATTTGACCAAGTCAATACTTTCAAGTTCTCTGTCCCAAGGTACTATTCTGGTGCTTTACTTGAGTTAATGTATTTAATCTTCACAATAGCCATGTAATCCCCACTTTTAAGAAGAGGAAATCAGGGCACAAAGTGTTATGTGACTCTGCTCAAAGTCAGAACTAGTAAGCGGCAGACCTAGTTCTGGGTTTAGAACTCCAGAGGCAGTGCTCTTTTAGAAAATTATTTATTATTATTACTATTATTATTATTTTGTGGTGCTAGGGATGGAACCCAGAACCTTGCATGTGCTAGGCAAATACTTTTACCATGTGTCACACCCATATCCCTCAGAGCCAGTGCTCTTAATCATATTGTAAGGGAGTACTTACTTTGGGAATGAAAATTATGATAAATATTGAAGGGTGAAGTGACTTTGTAAAAAATTAATTAAACATTTGGTTTTTGTGGTGGTGGGGATTGAGCCTAAGGCCTTGTCCATGTGAGGCAAGCCCTGTACCAACTGAGCTATCTCCCCAGCCTGACTTTTTTCCCCTAGGTTAAAGAGAAGTGGTAGTGTTATACATGGGAGAACAGCAAATGGAAGGGTCCAGTGGCCAGAGATTTACAGATCTTAGAAAAGCCTATTGGGGGTGTGGTGCAGGGATGTCTTGGTGCTAGAGAAGTAGGCAGGCATCAGACTGTGGTGGGCCTTGTTGATGCTGTTACAGAAATTTAGTGTTTATCTTAGAGCAGTGGGAAGCCATTGGTGCTGAAGGTGGGAAGGATGACATTGACATTTTAGATTGAAGATGCTAAGAGGAGAAAGTTGTTACTGTAGTTACTGTTAGACACTTACTGTATAATATGTAAGCTTTGATTTTTCTTACCTGGTTTCTTCCTTTTAATGTGTCAGCAGAGTCTGCATCTTGTCTATTTTTATGGTCTTAACACAAAGTTTGACACAATAGGTGCTGCATGTCTGACAGTGGAGTAGCATTATGTTTGTGCCAGCAGAGAATTCCTTGTTGAAATAAGAAGCATCTCTGAAGTTCACTATCAGTTTAGGGAACTTGAGCTGCTGCTTAGTTCCTCTCCATGCTTCTTTTCTATGAACCTGAAATATGCTCCACTGAGTCTGTTTGAAGCAGAATCTTTTGAAGATTTTAATCCCTCCCGCCACTTCTGCAAACCTTTGGGTTGGATGAAAAGCAGACAGCTAACTTTAGACTAGTCTAGAGAATTCAGACCATTCTTTTAATCAGCTAACAGGATTTGTTTATTTTTAGGTATATGTAGAGTTAACCTTTTAAATTTTATTTGTTATAGATATCAACTTTTAAAACATATTCTGTTAAATACCTAATTGTTTCCACTGCCTATATTCAGTGGCTGGAAAATATTGGTTTTATAGGAATTCCTACAGTTTATTGAACTTTTATATGCCTTAAGTGTTTTTCATATATTATCTATGTAGCAACTACATAAAAAAATCCCAATTTCATAGAAAAGAAAACAAAGCTCAGAGCAGTTAAATAATTTAAGGACACTATTGGTTGAGGTAGAATTTGAACCTTGGACAGTATGATTCCAAGGCCTGGCTTTTCTGATTACAAATTGTCTCTCATTTGAATGATAGTCTCACTGTGTGGTACATTCACAAAGTTTGAAAGCTTAGGTTCTCTATGTTCTTCAAAACCTATGATTCATTTCTAATCCATAAACATGGGAAAAAATGTTTTAGGCTTGTCTGAGTGCTTTAGAATTGCCTCAGGAAAATCTTTGTAACATGTTGACACATTTCTGACAGATCATTTGGGAAAATTTTTTTCCATGACTATTATAGAAACCGGTGTAATCAGATGTTTATAGACATCTGTGTATCTACATATCTACTATTTGGATTTCTTCCTTGTCTTAAGAGCTTTAGAACAGAGGTAAAAGCTGTGATAGCCTCTTTCTAAATAAGGTGGAAAATTGGTGACATTTTTGATAAATAGTGAAGGAAAAGGAGTTATTCCAAAATTTTTTGTTGTTGTTGTTTATTTTTAAATGTGGGTAAGTCAGGAAATAGGAAGGAAAAGGGGATTTGGGAACAAAAAAACTTTTTTTTTTTTTTAAATATAGAAACATAGTGTTTCATCTTCAGTATTTGGTGTTACAAGCCTGTAAGAATTATGTTGAGGTGCTGGGAAGACAGGAGAATCAGTGGCTGGTTTTTGGGTCAATGATTGGAGGCAAAAGTTACAGTTGGAACATGAGCCCTGAGGCATACAGTGGGTAAATAATATTTAATTGAGTAAACACTCCCTCTTACAACACTAAATTAGGATTTGGAAGAAGGAGGAAGAGGTAATAGGATTTTGAGGAATGGGTTGAGAGGAGGTAGAGCTATTAAATGAGGGAAGAACTTTTTTTATTAAAAAATATTTATTTTTTAGTTGTAGTTGGATGCAATATCTTTATTTTATTTTTATGTGGGTCTGGCACATGCTAGGGGAGCCACAATCCCAGCCCCGAGGGAAGAACTTTTTTAAGAAATTGGATTTATTTATTTTAATTAGGTATATATGACAGCAGAATGCAGTTTGATTCATTGTACAGAATTACAGCACGACTTTTCATTTCTCTGGTTGTACATGATGTAGCATCACACCATATGTGCAGTCATACATGTACTTAGAGTAACGATGTCCATGTCATTCCACCGTCTTTCCTGCCCCTATGCCCCCTTCCCACCCCTCCCTTCCTTTGCCCTACAAGTTCCTCCATTCTCCCATGGCCTTCCCTCCCAACCCCCATTATGGATCAGCATCAACTTATTAGAGAAAACATTTGGCCTTTGGTTTTTTGGGATTGGCTTATTTTGCTTAGCATGATATTCTCCAACTCCATCCATTTACCTACAAATGCCATAATTTTATCTCTCTTAATGCTGAGTATTATTCCGTTGTGTATATATACCACAGTTTCTTTATCCATTCATCAATTGAAGGGCATCTTGGTTGCTTTCACAGTTTAGCTATTGTGAATTGAGCTGCTATAAACATTGATGTGGTGGATTTACATTTTGAAAATGTAAAATGGCTTAATGTGAGTGTG